TGCCAAGGCCGCTGCACGCTCTTCCAAGGTGCACTCGTTCTTGGACTCAGCGACGCAAAGGAGCACCTGGACACCCCTAAACCCAAAACCCTAAAGGCCATGAAAGAGTGTGGCTTAGGCTTGAGGGCTAAGGCTTCGGGATAAGCCCTGATTTACTGTGCGGCTTTGTTCGGGATTTCATGCGTGATTTGTCAGCTATTCTGATGTCGTTTTGGCGGCGGTTCGAGGTTTCGGTATGTTTTTGGGGCTTTTCAGGTGTTAAAGGGTTCTGGTACATGTACTCCCAAGCGTCCTGGTACCGACAGCAGCTACATGACATTTTCATAGCCCTCTTAAAACTGCAACGTCCTTGTAAACCTGAAGAACCCTGAGTGGCATCGACATCTCCAAAGGGCGATTGGCAAAGCACCCCCTAAACCCTAAACCCTAAACCCCAAACCCGAAGAGACATGCGAAGAGAAGCCTCCGAGCTGAAGGAGCCGACAACCCCAAACTCCTCCTAGTTTCAAACCCGACTCCTTGCAGTGCAGCAAGCTGAATCTACTCTCAACCCTAAACCCGAACCATGGAACCCTACACTTCAACCCCGCACTAAACCCGAAATGGTATGACTCGCCTTGGCTTCAGCGTCTATACCTCGTTCCCCCGGTTCACCTCGAAAGCAAAATGTGATTCCAGGAAGCCACGCCGCCTCATCCGAAATCCCGTCAAGAATCACTGTGCCCAGGTCACACTCCCCCTGTATGTGCGTGTATACGTGTGTCAATACGCGATAACATGTACATGCCTTTTTGCGCACACACACACACATATATATATATATATACATACGCATGAAAGCATACGAACATATGCATAAAACATAAGGAAGCACATATATAAGTGTGTATATGTATATATACGGAGAAAGAGAAAGAGAAAGAGAAAGAGAAAGAGAAAGAGAAAGAACAAAAGAAAGAGAAAGATAAAGAGAAAGAGAGAGATAGAGAGAAAAAGACAGATACATGCATCATATATATATATATATATACATACAAAAACTAAAAAATATAGATACACACACCTTTTATTCGATTTTTATTTGCCCACATACACACACACACACACACACACACACTAACACTCACTGACACGACTTTGATACCGGCGGCCTCTGCAGCTTCCTGCAGTCGGCCCTGGCGTGCCCGGTGCCTGCCGCGAGAGCCCAGGCTTGAGAGTGCCGAGGCTTGAAGGATGTTGGCTTATGGTTTCGGGTTAGGGTTTAGGGTTTAGGGTTTAGGGTTTAGGGTTTAGGGTTTAGGGCTTAGGGTTTAGGGTTTAGGGTTTAGGGTTTAGGGTTTAGGGTTTAGTGTCAGTAGTAGTAGTAGTAGTAGTAGTAGTAGTGGTAGTAGTAGTAGTAGTAGTAGTAGTAGTAGCAGCAGTAGTCGTAGTAGTAGTCGTAGTAGTCCCCTGAACCCTAAACCGCATGGGTTTTGAGGCGATCCGGGCGGGGCTGGCGGCTTGGGGGTTTAGGGTTTTCTGTGAGTTGGGTCAGGGTTTGCCCTAAACCCTAGACCCTAAACCCCTAGGGTTTAGGGTGTTTGAGAGATTTGGGTCCAAGCTCTCCTGCCGCACGGCGGACAACCCATTATCATCACTTGTCTTTGGGGCTGAGTACCCTAGCCCCAAAAAGGTTAACCTTTTCAATTATGGTAGGGTTATACAAACCCCAAAAGGTTAAAGTTTACCTACTCAGCCACTAAGTTGTAATTGCAAGGAAGCCTCGGTACACAAGAGGGTAAATGGGCACTGCTCCAGTTTGCGGGGTCAAAGGTTCGGAGATTACAGTTGAAGGGCTTGGGCTTTTGGGGTCATCTAGGGGCCTTAACAATCAGAATGGGATTTCGGGATGCGTGATACCGAAAGATACAGGGACTCAGAACAGACTTTCAAGCATGTTCCCCCCCCTACCCAGGAGTTCAGATACTAGAAGCAAACATTTTGACCTCATACAGCTTCAGCAAGGCTCCAAACTGAGGGAGCTGTTAATGCGAATCTTCGGACTGAGCGGATCTAGAGTTTCAGGCCACAATACTTACAGGTGTTCTTTTGTTTTTAATGTTGTTTTCAATTTTACAGTGTTCTGTGGCTCTAAGAGGTCCTAGCCATTATACTTACTAGGGCTCCTTGATGTTTTTGTTGCAGGGCTCTGTGGTTCTAAGGGGTCTTGGCCATTAGAAGAAGGTTTGGGCCACCTGAGAATGACTGCAAGGGAATGCCATTTCATTCAGCAGACCCTGACAGACCCTGACAGCATGGATGTGTGGATTCCTGGAGGTGGAAGGCAAAGGTACATGAGCTGCAGGAAGACACGCAAGCATTCTACAGGCAAGTGGGCTCAAGTTGCAGATGCTGTTTGGAACGAGGACAACACGAGATGCCACAACGTTGCGAAGTATTATTGCAGTAAGATGCTGGCAACACAAGCCATGCATAACACTGCATGCAACATGTGGCATAAGATCGTCGTGCCAGCTTCAGCAAACATTGCAAAACAAAGGATAAGAAAGCATGTGCTACCTGGTTGTCACTCATTAGAACATTAACTCTTTCATAGAGTCGCGGCATCCGCAATCAAGAGCATGCCATGAATCCGTGATGGTCGGCCGCCTCCACAGCAACTCGCCTGCTGAGCGGCAGCTGGAAGCACGCTGCTGCAGAAAGGCCTGGCAGTGCTCACGGCTGATGGTGTGCCAGCGGTAAAGTGGGTGGTATTCGCAGCATAGAGGTGATTGTCATAGTACGGGTAAACGTGGCAACAGGAGCAGTGGTAGCAGCGGGTAGTAGTAGCAAGTAGCAGCAGCAGCAGCAGCAGTAGTTGTTGTAGTTGTAGTTGTAGTTGTAGTTGTAGTTGTAGTTGTAGTTGTAGTTGTAGTTGTTGTAGTTGTAGTAGTTGTAGTAGTAGTAGTAGTAGTAGTAGTGGTGGTGGTAGTAGTAGTCGTAGTAGTAGCAGTAGTAGCAGTAGTAGTAGTAGTAGTAGTTGTTGTCATAGTAGTAGTAGTAGTAGTAGTAGTAGTAGTAGTCATAGTAGTAGTAGTAGTAGTAGTAGTAGTAG